CAGGTGAATGATATAGGCCCTACATATATATATATATATATATATATATATATATATAAACAGACCTTCAGCATATACTGTAGATCAGTGGTTCTCGAACTTTTTACACCAAGTACCACCTCGGAAAATATTTGGCTCTCCAAGTACCGCCATAATGACCAAAATGAAAATACAGTAGTGTAGGCCTATAACTATTCAGCTACAGTTATGTACATCTCAAAAATGAGGCAGTTTAATTTCTAATAAGAATATGTATTATTGTCAGCCACTTTAAACATTGTAAAAACACAGTTTGAACATTAACTGCACTGTTCTGCTTACATACAGGTAAATAAAAAACTTAAATAATGATTAAATTCACCTAAAGTGAAATAAAAACTGTAGCCTATTGTACTTAAAATATTAAGTGAAAAAAACTACTGTAGCCTACTTAATAAAAAAACAGGCTGTGTATTCATATTTAACCTTTTTAAACGTAACGTTACATGTAAAATATTTTTCAAGGCGATCATTATTTAGAACTTATCACTTTATTGTTTCCATGGTGACGCGTCATTGTTTGTCACGTGACACACCGCAGCCACTCAATGACTAATGATCTGCTTTTATTTAAAAAAAAATATTAAAAATATTCACAAATTTGTTAGCTATGGCATGAAATATTTGATATTCCGATTGTCAAATATATGCAAGTGGAAGTGTTATGTTGTTTAAACACCGTTATAACGATCGCGTTAGTTGAGCTATATGCGCCTCCATGTTAGTTCAGAGAATCGGATCTGTTGGATTTACAGCACGTGAATTCATCCACTTCTCCCGAAATACATGAAAGTAAGTGGCCGGTGAACTGGGAGAAAAAGATCACACCGGTTTGATCTTACGTGCGAAATTCAGTGATTCCTCTGCATAGCACACAACCACTGCTGTAACTTGGATGTAAATACAACTGTAAAGTTTGGTGTGTGAAGCTGCTGAAGTGGAGATTTCTGCCTTAAACTCACAGCCTTTAAAGATATATATTATAATCTACAGATGCGGATAGATAAAGTGCAATAAAATAAACACTCAAATGTGTATTTTGGATGTTTTCTTTCCACTAATCTGACATGTTATAGAAGCTAAATAGACCAAACTGACCAGTGCCTGAGAAAACAGTGGTTTTACCTGAAGTGTTTTGCCTTAAAACATTTTAAATACTTCAGAAAGTTACTATATAATACAGTAAAATCCATATTATGTGTAACTTGTGTTTGTTACTATGGTTAATATTCAGCTTGTTTCGGCCCTTTAGTCCACAGATCCGGTGTAAACACTCCAGGTGTGTGTGATGAAGGTCGCAGCATCTTTAGTGTCACCGAGAGACTTGACAGAAGTGCTGATATCTGAGTGTATGAGCTGTTCACTCGGGGATACTTTGACCCATCCATGTTTCCGAAAGCTCATCGTGTTTGTTTAACATTGTAATGAGAAATTCAATATTCTCATTCTCAAGAAAAAAGTTTAACGACATTTGAAGATTGTTAGAGTATGTTTTACAAGACAATTGCATTTCATTCTTTTCTTTCTACTTACGTTTAATTCAATGTGTTGCTTGCCTTTTTTTGTAATTATTTCTGATATTTACTAGCAATTTCTGAATTTAAAAAAAGTAGCTAAACGCCAAGAACTAAATTAAACATTATTAATTAACAATTAAATTGTTCAAAGCTGACAGTAAAGACATTTATAATGTTACAAAAGAACTTTCTGTTCATCAAAAAATGCTGAAAAATAAAATATATTATAAAAATATAATCTGTTTTCAACACTGATAATAATCATAACATAAATGTTTCTCGAGCATCAGATCCTCATTCTGAAAATTCACAGGAATAAATTACACTTTACTGTATATTCATATAGAAAATGGCTATTCATATTCTAATAATATTTCACTATTTTTACTGTATTTTTTTATCAAATAAATGCAGCTTTGGTGAGCAGAAGAGACCGTGTGTGTGTGTGTGTGTGTGTGTGTGTGTGTGTGTGTGTGTGTGTGTGTGTGTGTGTGTGTGTGTGTGTGTGCGTGCGTGTGTGTGTGCGTGCGTGCGTGTGTGTGTGTGTGTGTGTGTGTGTGTGTGTGTGTGTGCGTGTGTGTGTGTGTTTCTAAAGCAGATAATGTGCTGACACTGGTGTATCTGCTCGCTGGGACGATCTCATGTGATTGACTCTAATGCTGTGTGTCACAGGAGCCGATGGAGAGAAATCAATTTCACACACACAAACACATGCACAAACACACACACACTCACTCCCACCCACTCTCACACATAAACACACACAGAATCACATCAGCGCCGGCGACCTTCCACCAGGTCATAGTCTTCCTCCATTTCTCAACGTCTTCGGTTGTGATTCATGAAGATGTGATTGTAAAGCTGAGCATGAAGAGATCCATTATGGGAGAATCTGTCCTCGTTCACTTTCCACAGTAATTGAACTGAATTAACACTGAAGCTGAACAATGTAGAGCTGCTATACAGTAGGGGTGGGAATCTCTAGGCACCTCACGATTCGATTCGATTACGATTCAGAGGGCTGCGATTCGATGCTAAATCGATTATCAGAATCTTTTTTTTGTGTGTGTGTGACTATAAATACTTTGCTTTAAAAGTAGAAAGTAATGACCCATAAAGAATTAACGTACAATATATTTTATTAGCATTGCAAAGAACCAACAGGAAAATACATGTGTGTCTGAACTAGCAGCAGCATATTTGTAGTAAATTAATAATATAACAACGACCGGTAACGTTACAGCCGAGTGTTTTTCCTCCTCTGGCTGGAAACGTGTCATATGGCTTCTCATATGTGTCTTGTTTCCGAAATATTTTAGTTTTACTCTACAAAGCTTACAACTAGTGTGGCTCTTGTCCAGCTCCTTTCCCCCTTCAACTTCAGAAGCCAAAATATTTCCACACGTCAGCTTTTAACGAGGAGGGTGTTTGGATTTGGCGCTCAGCCATCGCGTCCGCGTCTGTTACGTGCACGCCACAGACGGTCCGGCCACTGCACTTCCGCGCTTCAGAGTTCCGTCTTTCGCGTTCCGTCAATATTACGTTATTATAAATATATATCTAAAAATTTTTTATTTTTTTTGAAAATCGATTTTTGACAATTGTGAATCGATTCAGAATCGTCCACGTCCGCATCGCGATGCATCTAAGAATCGATTTTTCCCCCACCCCTACTATACAGCAGACTTCAATTCACACACACACGCACACACACACACACACACACACACATATGGAGAGGAGATTCCCCCCTTCCATATGTGAAGCGCTTTGAGGTCCCAGAAAAAGCGCTATATAAATGTAATGAATTATTATTATTATTATTATTATATACACATTTGTGTCCTCATATATCACAAAAACAAGAGCACACTGTCTCACACACACACACACACACACTCACTCACTCACTCTCTCTCTTTCTCACACACACACACATTCACTCATTTCTCTTACACACACTCACTCACTCACTTAGTCACTCACTCTCACACACACACGCACGCATTCACTCATTTCTCTTACACACACACACACACACACTGTCTCACACATACACTCACTCAGTCACTCACTCACTCTCTCTCTCTCTCTCTCACACACACACACACACACACAGCGACATACGATTAAATATGATTGTGTAGATGAACTATAATCCTGGAGTCTCATAGAGGTTGTGCTAAACTCATGTTAAATGTCATGTTCTTCTGAGCTGTGTGTGTGTGTGTGTGTGTGTGTGTGTGTCTGAAGAAGGATCAGACTCGTTAGGTTTGTTTATATCTGCTGATTGTTGTGCTTGAACTTCAGCGTCTTCGGTCTGTCATCTTGAAGCTCGGTGAATGTGGGCGGGGAACGACAGGCTGAGAAGATTGTGTCTGAACACGGGAAAAAGAGGAGAATGACAGCACTTTAACACACACACACACTCTCTCTCTCTCTCTCTCTCTCTCTCTCTCTCTGAATGTAGTGAGACAGGTGTATAAAGATCTAGATTCTAGAGTTTCATCTTAATATAGTTTTTTACCTTTTGAAGATGTATTTGCTCTTAAATAGTTTGAATATTAAATAGTTTGAACGTTGTGTTTTTATTTTATTAGAAGTGTAATGTTAACCAAACAGTTGCTGTAGTCTGAGAGATTCAAAATGTTTGTTAAAATACAGTAAAAAAATACAGTAAAAATCAGAACAAAAATATTCAAAGGCATGTTTTTCACACTTTTTCCTTAAATAAACACATGGAATAGAAATATTTAATTGCGTTCAGGGCTTGACATTAACTTTTTTGCTCATCAGTCACTGTGGCTAGTGGTTTTTCAAAGTTACTCGCCACTCAGCATTTTCACTGGCCACAATTTGGACACCGATACCATAGGGGAATAACTACCATATAGATATTTTTAATATTATCTCATTATTTGGCAGCCGGTATATTAGGCTACTGTCACTTTAAGACCTGACGCACGGACCCATTATACTGTTTTATATAGCAATATACTTGTCTTTATGTTGGGTGTGAGCACAAAACCTGTGGGAATAGGTACAATTATGCTCAATACGCGCAATCCCTCGCCCTGTAACCAACAATATTCATCCGGAGCAAATTAAACGAGTGAGTAAAGGGTTGTGGTGTGTCGACTCGCTGTTATTTAACACTGTAAACACAACACTAGACATCTGAAGGAAACTCTAGCGCCCCCTGGAGTCGTGGAGTTTAATATCGCCTAGAGTGTCATTTCTGGAGTGATATTGTTCACATTTTCTTTGTGTTGTCTGAGTTTTTACATCGCTCTGATCCTGATTTTCCTTTGTGTTTTAAAGCTTCCCTCAAACCGTCCTGACAGTTCAAATCGATCAACATAAAACACTCTCTTCGGGGTTGAAATCAGACGCTGTGTTTTTAGCTTCAACATGAATATGAGTGTGTTTTGTGTGTGTCTGCAGGTTTTATTTAATCAGTGGAGGAGTTCCCTTCGTCATATGTGGGATCACAGCAGCGATCAGCATGGACAACTACGGTAGTGGAGAGCAGACGCCGGTGTAAGTATACAGGACTGTGGAGATATTTGACTGGATCTTGGTCTTCATTACATCTTTATCATGTTCAATGTCAATTGTATGTGTTAAAGTCAGCATGAAAGGGATGTTGTGCTAGTCTTTTCTCCTCTATTGTGTCGAATATCCCAGTGAAACGCTTCTTTAACAAGAACAAATGTGGGCGGGGCTTGATTTTCTCTGTGGGGAATTGATTGGATGGTGGTGGTTTGCTATTGGCTGATCTCATGTGAGTGACAGGTTATAGCCCCGCCCACATCATCAGAGAAGAGAAGCACTGCAAAAAAATGCTTTTCTTACTTAGTATTTCTGTCTTGTTTTCAGTCCAAATATAAAAAAATTCTTAAATCAAGATGCATTTACTAGATGAGTAAAATTACATAAGATATTATGTCCTGTTTTCCGGAGGAATTCATCAGAATTAAGTGAGTTGATGCTTAAAAAAAGCTAAATTATCTGCCAATGGGGTAAGAAAAATAATCTTAATTCAAACAGAAACAAGATTATATTTCATACCACATTGGCTGATAATTTTGCTTGTTTTAAGCAAAAACTAACTTTATTTTGATTAATTTCCCCAGAAAACAAGACTTAAAGGAGTAGTTCACTTTTAAAAACACTTTTGCTGATAATTTAGGCGAGCATGCGAGCATTAGGCGAGCATGTGAGCTTATAAAACTTAAACTTTGTTGTTGTTTTTTTAAATGAGCGATCGTTTCGCTTGATAAGACCCTTATTCATCGTCTGGTGTCGTTTAAAACCATTTGAACAGTTTGCGGTTTGCACTAAAACTGTCATTTGGACCTTGGACCGTTTGGTACCCAGTAAAGTGCATTATATGGAGAAAAATCCTGGAATGTTTTCATCAAAAACCTTAATTTCTTTTCGACTGAAGAAAGAAAGACATGGACATCTTGGATGACATGGGGGTGAGTAAATTATCAGCAAAAGTTTTTTTAAAAGTGAACTAATCCTTTCATATCTTATGTCATTTTACAACTTTAGTAGATGCATCTTGATTTGAGAAATGTTTGATATTTGGACTGGAAACAAGCAGTAGAGGGAGTTATTCTGATTCGATATTATTAAAACAATAATGATGTGCACCGATAAATCATTTACAGTAAGCACTGCAATATTGCATAATAAATACGCATTTTGATTGTGTGTTTGCAGTTGTTGGATGGCGTGGGAACCCAGTCTAGGAGCGTTTTACGGTCCGGTGGCCTTCATCCTCCTGGTGACCTGCATCTACTTCATCGTCACCTTCATCCAGTTACGCAAACACCCGGAGAAGAAGTACGAGCTGAAGCCTGTGAGCGAAGAGCAACAGAGACTCGCCGACGTCCACCAGAGCGAGACGAGACCCGAACCCGGTCAGTGTCACGGCGGATGCCCGGGCCTCATCAACCCCTCCACGCTAGCGAACGAACACTCGTTTAAAGCTCAGCTGAGGACGACTGCCTTCACGCTGTTTTTATTCCTCACCACGTGGACATTCGGTGCTCTCGCGGTCACACAGGGTCACTTTCTAGATATGATCTTCAGCTGCTTATACGGGGCGTTTTCCGTCACGCTCGGGTTATTCGTACTAATCCACCATTGCGCGAAACGTGACGACGTGTGGCATTGCTGGTGCGCGTGTTGTCCGGGACGCCGCTTGAATACGAGTAATAACAAAGCGTGTCACGCGCACAAATCCAACGTGAACGGGGACATGCGACACTGCCATTCGGATTCAATTTGCCCGGGGAAATCGATTCTGAGCCATTCGCATTGTGCGTGTCAGACTCACAATCACGTGACTTGCTTGACGCCGGTTTCGCCGTGTTGCGCCGCGCTTCAGCTTCTCGATGACGAAAACACGCCTCATGTGCTTCTCCACGCCGACCCCGAAGGATACCGACCCGCCGTGCATCTGCACCGCTGCGTGAAACCCGTCAGGACTAAAGCGCGACGCCAACGAGAACTCGCGTTTCGGATTCCCTCGGATGGCGCTAGTGCTAGCGCGCATAGCTCGCGCGCCAACTCCCCGCACGACCACATCTGCCACCTCGCTCACGACTCCTGCCATCATCATCATCATCACGTGTGTTGCGCTAAAGACGAGCTCCTGAACGAGACGTTTCTGTGCGGCTGCGGGAAGACGGCGGAGGACGATCTGCATCACACACACATCGAGCTTCACGCTCGCACACACTCGCTGGCCAATCAGAACGGGCTCCTCAAGGGGAACGCGCTGTACCCGCCCGACGGCACGGGGAATATACGCACCGGACCCTGGAGGAACGAAACTACCGTGTAGTTCCAGGGATCCATCCCACTCTAGGATTTAAGAAAGGAACTTTTTTTTTTAGTTCCATCACGAGTTTTGTTCGCTGTTTTCCTGCGTTGTGCGTTGTACAGGACGATTGCATCGGCTCCTCGAACAACACAAAACAGGGGCCTCGTTTATAAAGACGTGCAAAGAATGATCCTAAATGTGAACGTTTGCGGAAGTTATGACAGTTTACTAAGCTAACTTTTTTTTTTTTTTTTATGTATATCTACACTCACCTAAAGGATTATTAGGAACACCATACTAATACTGTGTTTGACCCCCTTTGGCCTTCAGAACTGCCTTAATTCTACGTGGCATTGATTCAACAAGGTGCTGAAAGCATTCTTTAGAAATGTTGGCCCATATTGATAGGATAGCATCTTGCAGTTGATGGAGATTTGTGGGATGCACATCCAGGGCACGAAGCTCCCGTTCCACCACATCCCAAAGATGCTCTATTGGGTTGAGATCTGGTGACTGTGGGGGCCATTTTAGTACAGTGAACTCATTGTCATGTTCAAGAAACCAATTTGAAATGATTTGAGCTTTGTGACATGGTGCATTATCCTGCTGGAAGAAGCCATCAGAGGATGGGGACATGGTGGCCATAAAGGGATGGACATGGTCAGAAACAATGCTCAGGTAGGCCGTGGCATTTAAACGATGCCCAATTGGCACTAAGGGGCCTAAAGTGTGCCAAGAAAACATCCCCCACACCATTACACCACCACCACCAGCCTGCACAGTGGTAACAAGGCATGATGGATCCATGTTCTCATTCTGTTTACGCCAAATTCTGACTCTAACATCTGAATGTCTCAACAGAAATCGAGACTCATCAGACCAGGCAACATTTTTCCAGTCTTCAACTGTCCAAATTTGGTGAGCTCTTGCAAATTGTAGCCTCTTTTTCCTATTTGTAGTGGAGATGAGTGGTACCCGGTGGGGTCTTCTGCTGTTGTAGCCCATCCGCCTCAAGGTTGTGCGTGTTGTGGCTTCACAAATGCTTTGCTGCATACCTCGGTTGTGACGAGTGGTTATTTCAGTCAAAGTTGCTCTTCTATCAGCTTGAATCAGTCGGCCCATTCTCCTCTGACCTCTGGCATCAACAAGGCATTTTCGCCCACAGGACTGCCGCATACTGGATGTTTTTCCCTTTTCACACCATTCTTTGTAAACCCTAGAAATGGTTGTGCGTGAAAATCCCAGTAACTGAGCAGATTGTGAAATACTCAGACCGGCCCGTCTGGCACCAACAACCATGCCACGCTCAAAATGGCTTAAATCACCTTTCTTTCCCATACTGACATTCAGTTTGGAGTTCAGGAGATTGTCTTGACCAGGACCACACCCCTAAATGCATTGAAGCAACTGCCATGTGATTGGTTGATTAGATAATTGTATTAATGAGAAATTCAACAGGTGTTCCTAATAATCCTTTAGGTGAGTGTAGATATATATATATATATATATATATATATATATAAACAAATAAATAAATTATTAATAAGTACAATGATACTAACTGTGATTATAGGACAGTCTATGAAATGTTCCTATAAACAATTTATAATGGTCCATATGCACAAAAAAATGCTTAAATTTTTTTATATATATTTTGAATTTTCACATATGTATGAGTATAAAGATTCGTTTTTCAGGAAGTAATTAATTTGCGATCACAAATCAGTTAAAAATGTTGCTCATTTGAGCATATATAATAATATAAATGCTTATTTATATTCCCTAATTTTTATTTATTTTTTACATATTTTTTTAGATTTTCACACACTTATGTGTAAAAAAAATCTTACTTTTCAGGAAATAATCATTAAATAATTAATCACAAATCAGTTAAAAATGTTGCTCAGTTGATCATATAATAATATAAATGCTTATTTATATTCCCTTTTTTTTAACTTACTTTTTAGATTTCCACATATGTATATAAACATGTACATGTATGTGTAAAAAGAAATCTCATAAATATAATTTTTTCAGGAAATAATAATTTCTTAATTCGTTATTACAAAGTCAGTTAAAATGTTGCTTATTTGAGTTTATATCAATAGAAATGCTTATCATGATTCCCTATGTATCTTTACATTTTCATATTGTTGTATTGTTTTAATTACTGCTTCATAAATCCTGGTTTGTTCCGCGCTTTTGACGTTTAAGCTCATCTCTGTGCGTTTGCTAAACGAGGCCCTTGGTTTCACTGCATTATTGGAGCTGGTGCACATGTTCACACTGCAGTTTAATCTGGAGTCACTTCACTTATTAGAGTTTAATGTGGTTCTTATTTACAGAAGTGGCAAACAAATGTATTTCTGTGCAGCCTGTACATGAACATTGTGTTCCAAGCTGGTGCATTTATCACTACAGGTAACAAACATTGCGTGCGTGTGTGTTTATGTGTGTGTGTGTGCGTGCGTGCGCGCGCGTGCAAACGCAACCAAGTTTATGTGATGAAAAGAAGCATTTCAAAGGATTTTGCCATATATTTATTTTCATAGATGTATTGAGAGTCCCTCGAATGTCTAAATCATTTCTGAGAAAAACATCCAGATACATGAAAATTCACCAGCAATTTTGAACCGCTCATCGTCCATCAGCTCAACATGTTTAATATATACTGTGAATATGAACTAGCGAAAACTTAGTAATACACAGAAAAGGCCTGCTTCTGTCTTTCCTCTGTTCTGCCGGTGAAGTTTGCGATGTAAACAGACGAAGAGGCTTCGTTCCAAATCCTAGTGAGCTGCCGATCTAGACAGCATTTGAAGGGAACATAAACATAAGGCAACGTTGTATGTATATACTGTACATCGTAGAGTACATTAAAAAATGCCTCCAACGTGACGAAAGAAATGTAGATTCTCATTTTTCTTTCAAGACTAAAAAGTATTGATGTAAAACACTCTATTTTACCCATTATTTGTGTGTTTTTATGATTATTACAGTACTGTCTGCTTAGAAACTTGCTAATTCAGACTCCATTTTGTGAAAATTAGGCTTAAATTTAAGATTTATCTATTTGAATTGCATATAACAATTTTTTTTTAAAGTTATGACATAACTAATAAACTTGATGTGATGCATATTGGTCAGTCACACAGACCAGATTTCTAAAATATTACTAAATAAACTGAATGTGTTTTGAATTCACAATAACCAGGTTTATATATTTAGCATCAATAAATCCAATTTTAGTTCAATCTCATACATCGTAACTAACTGAAGATTGCTTGTTATACAGCTAATCATATTTTAACCATCTTTTTATCTGAATAAATGTAATTGTTTTCACAATGAACAGATTTATTCTGATTCTAAGCCATTTAAATAAATGCATTTCAAAATATGATCATTTAATAAAAGCGAGATGCAGATATTTCGTAATAAACTATGCCATGGTTTTTTAAATCTGACAAATATGAATCACATTACGTTTATTAGTTCGTTAAATCTGTGGGAAACACTTTACTTAAAGCTTTTATGTATAATGCATCACAAAGGTATTCATATTGTATGCTATAATGCATCGGTAACACTTTACTTAAAGGGGTGTGCATAAGACTGACATGACAGGGTTTATGCATGTTTATGACAACTGTCATTAAGAGTCAGCCAATGTCAAAACCAACCACCTGACAGTTTAATGTAATGTTAACCCATAAAGCTAAGTGCTTTCTTAAGTTTGATAATTAATCTGCTATGTCATGTTTATGACATATTTATGACAGCTTGTGTTATCTTAGTAATGTCAAGTTGTCATGACAAAGACACTGACAGATTATGATGGTTTATGTCAAGTTGTCATTACCAAGACATCTCAAACAATGTCATATTTGCATTAAAAATGTCATAACTGAGTGAATGACACTTAATGACAGTTGTCATAAACATGCATAAACCCTACTTCATATTCATGACATGTGTCATGTCAGTCTTATGCACACCGCTTCAAGTAAAGTGTTACCAATGCATCTAATTGTAACCAAAGTTAAAATGCATTATAATATTTGCAGATTCCTTGTCAAATATGAAATTGGTTTTACTTTACTTTCTAAAGGCGTATTCAATTAATAGATAAGTATTATAACTGTGGTTACTATTATTCATGAGATTATGCAATGCATTATAAGTCGCAATACAAGGCATAATTAATGCATTAAAAAATGTTGATGATGCATGATATAAAGGCTTTAAGTAAAGTGTTGCCAAACGTGTATATTCCAAATTTCATTTGCAATTCAAATACATAAATGTTGAATCTGTGAGTCAGATCCGTCACGTAAGATGTGAAGTGGCTCACTGGGTTCTGGAACGTCTCTAGTTGTTCTATTGCAGATCTGTGCTGATTCTTTACTGTTTCTATGGTGAATCACTGTTCTGTCGTCAAGGAGACGTTTGTGCAAGAACATCATTGTGGCACTTGAAGGAGAAATGACAATAACATGATGCTTGTGATTCATTGGTGAGCGGCCGTGTGTGTGTGTAACACCAGACTGTGGAGGAGAAACTGCTGGATCATTCACACGCTTTCTTCATCCTCTGATGTGTGTGTGTGTAAATCTCAGTAAATCTGTCCAGAACATATCCTGCTCGTGTTTCTGTGGAAGCTTGTTTCCGCCGCTGAAGAAATCAGAAATAATAAAGGTAACTGAGACTTTTTTTTTCTAGGAATTGTGAGTTTTTATCTTAAAACTCTTGACTTTTTTCCCCACAATTCTGACTTTTTTTCACGCAATTTAGATTTGTTTCTAGTAATTGCGAGATTTTAACACAAAATTTTGACTTTTTTCCCACAATTCTGACTTTTTTCCCCACAATTCTGACTTTTTTCCCTACAATTCTGACTTTTTTCACGCAATTCTGACTTTTTTCTAGTAATTGCGAGATTTTAACAGAAAATGTTGACTTTTTTCCCACAATTCGGACTTTTTTTCTAGTAATTGCGAGATTTTATCATAAAATTTAGACTTTTTCCCCACAATTCTGACTTTTTCCCCCACAATTCTGACTTTTTTTCACGCAAATCTGACTTTTTTCACGCAATTC